GCCGAGGTTAGGCTGCGCGGGACGTGGGGGGGGGGCCTTTCCCCCCACCTCAGATGCCCCTGTGCCCTCCGCCCTGCCTGGTGTTGGGCAGAGGAAGCCGGGAGGGGCAGGAAGCGGACTGCGGTGGGGAAGGGGCGCCCCGCCCAGCCCCCGGCCCAGGTTCCTGTTTTCGAGACAAACCGTTCCCACGGGGCTACCCCGGCCCGGGGCCCAGCGTCTTCCTGCGGGCAGCGCGGGGCACAGGCCTGGTAGAGATTGGGGGCGTAAGGGCAGCAAGGTCCTGCTAAGTATGGGGGAGGGGCTAGAACAAGATGGGAGCATTTTGGGGAGAGGGGACTGTGTAGAGGGAGGAATGAAAACGCCGCTACCTGGAGACGAGACCTTGATGTCTGGGGATGTTGTGGGGGGAGTTCCAGCTCAAAGGCGGGACTGGGGCGCCGGAAGCCTGGCTCCCCAAGGGGCCAGGTTGAAAGGGGCAGCTGCAAGCTGTAGGTAGGTTCTCCGCAGCTTGGAGACTAGAAGCTTGGATGCCTAGGCCCCGGGTAGGGAGGAGCTTGGGAGGGGCAGCCGCAGGCGGTTGGGGTCCCCACAAGCTGGGCCTAGGGGAGCCAGTAACCGTTTCCGGCCTTTGGGTTCAAACACACTCACTGTGAAACCACCCGCCCCAAATCTGCCTTTCGAGGCTTGCCCCTCCCTGCCTCGCAGCTGGTGAGGCAGGACCTCCCCTACATCTCAATCTTGGTAATGCGAGGCCTAAGAACAGGCCCTTTCAGGTCCTCAGTTTCCCCAAAATGAGGTGAGGGCAACACTGGCATAGCGCAGTCAATGAATATCTCTCGCCCTAACACTCCCCAGACTTGGGGCAAAGCACAGCCACCTGCTAAGAGACCCTGAAACGCCGCAGTGGGGCGGGGCTAAGGGCGGAGTCAAGAAGGCGCCAACTATCCACAGGCCCCTCCCCCTTCTGATCCCGCCTCCTGACAGCGTGCATCTTCGGTAGTCCCGGAGGCTTCAACCCAAATCCCGGTGGGCCCCACCCAAGCGGACGCCCCGCCCCTGGCCAGCCTGGCAGACCGCTGACCTAGTATGGACACAGCACTGGGAAGAGAGGCGTGGAGGGTGACTCCGGGAAGAGGGCTGAGAGTCCCGGGCCCCGCCCCCCACGGGCCATTTCCCTCTTCGGAGGGGACGCACCTGCCGCCGGTGGGGGTAAGGCAGCTGCCGTTGTGCCGGCCCAAAGCTAAAAATATTTCCCAACAGAAAGAGGAGTTGAGGCTCCCAAGGAGAATCAATTTATTGGGGGGGGTACAGTTGGTCAGACCCATAAAATAGGAGCGGGCAGGAAGCCCGAGGACGGGATGAGAGCAGTGTCCTCAGTCACGCTGGACACTGGAACCTCAAGGCTGAAGAGAAATGTGGGTTCCAGGAAGAGGCTTAAAGATCTAACTCCAGTACCCCACTCTCCGGATGAGAAGCTGGGGCTGGCCCAAGGGATTACAAAGATTCAAGGGCTGATTTGGAATCTGGTCTGGAGGCTCACATCATCTCATCAGGGGCTGGCAGGCGCTGGCGAGAAGGCTCTACGCCCCAGATCTCCCGCGCATACTGGGTAATGGTGCGGTCACTGGAGAACTTGCCAGAAGTGGCTATGTTCCTGATCACCGTCCGCGTCCACTCTCTCGGGTTCTATAGGCCAAAAGGGAGCTCTGGGTTCACTCTGCCGGTGGGATCCCCACTTTTCATCTCATCCCAGCCGTAGCCACCAAAGCCCTGCCAGGGCCCCCCTCCCCCGCCCAGGACCCTTACCTTGTACAGGGCATTGACTCTCTCCTGGCATTTAATGTAGTCTTCATAATCTGCAAAGACTTTAAACCTAGAGGGGAATGGAGAGGCAGGAAGCTCCATGAAGTGAAGGACAAAGCCAGATGGACTTCTGGAGACCTGGAGAGTGATGCTGCTTCCGAGGGAACTGGCTCCAAGCACCCAGGACCCTGGTCCAGCCTCCCCTCCGTGCCAAGCCCTGTTCAGCCCAGCAGCCCCACCTGCATGATTCCCTGGGCAACCAGCTCACCGGTCATGGTGCATAAGCATGTTGACAATGTCCTTGAACAGGTCAGGCTGTTTAGGCGAAAAGAAGCCGCTGTTCAGCTGCTCGATGATCTGTCGAAGCTCAGGAACTCGGTCGTAGTATTCCTGGGCATTGTACCTGCGGGGAGGAGCTGTGGTCAGCCCCTGGGAAAGGGGGTTCTGCCTCCTCCTCCAGAAAAGGGCCTGAAAGTCCTAGGCCCCAGAGACAGCCTATTCTGTCCCCCCTGCAGCTGCCACTGGAGTTCCTCCCCTGGAGGCCCTCTCCCTTCTCTCCTTGGCTTTTTATCCCCCATTGGGTGGCCGAGGAGAGAGGCCTGGAGAGGGCAGAAAGGAAGTGTCAGAGCCAGGGCCCCAAACTAAGTGCTCGTCCTCCCACACACCACCACCGACTCCCAACCAGTGTGTTTCCTCCACGAATGGCTTTTTCCAAGTCCAACCCTGCCCTCGCCTTTGGGCGCCAGGAAGAGCCAACAGGTATACCCTCAGCAATGTCCTTAAACTCAGACTGTCCCACTGAGCTTTCCCCCAGTGTTCCACTTTCTAAGACAGTGCAATCCATCCCTCAACCACCGATTTTAAAATCGTCCCTAAGGCCAGTCTCATCTCTTTCCTTTCCTCCTCTGTTCCAAACAGAAACCAGAGCCACTTCCTCAACAAAGCCCCTATTCCCCACCCCCAGCACTGGCCTGCTGCAGGTGTGGGGGCATTATGGTGTCAGCCCCTACATTGGTCCCCCACCTGCACTTTGCCCCCTCCAGTCCAATCTCCATCCTGTCTTTCTGAAGCCTAGTTCTGAACATGTCAGACCTTGTTCAAAACATTTCACATCTCCCTCCTGTCCAGAGGACCAAGCCTGAATTTTCTAGTCAAGCCTCACGTGAGAAATTCGCAGCTTTCATAAGCTGTTGGGGGAGTGGGTACCAACTTCCTGGAAAGCAATTTGGCAATATGTATTAAGAGCCTAAAGAACTCACACTTTTTGACTCAGAAATGTCCCTTTCTAATAATTATCTTAAGGAAACAAGAGATGTGGACAGAGATGTAAAAATTCGGTCATGACAGTGATATTCATACTAACGGGAAATCAGCCTTGATGTCTAACCACATAGAGCTGGTTAAATAACATGGCATGTCTATAGGATGGGATACTATACAAACATTTAAAATCACTTTGAAGACTATTTAATGACATGGAAAATGCCACTCCAATGATAAATATCATGATTCAAAATTGTACATATATTATTTCCAACTTTTAAAAACTATGCATATACATACACACACATATAAACACATATGTAGAAAAAAAGAACTTAGCTTTATATCTGGGTGATGAAATTATGGACGACAGTTATTTTATTCTTTGTGGTTTTGTATTTCTCCAATTAATGAGCATTACTGCTTTATGATAAGAAAAATATTATAAAATAAATTTTAAAAAATAATGCCGGGAAAATGTCTCCTCTGAAGACATGCATTTCTGGCTACAAGCACAGTTAACTACTGTGTTCATATTTCCCTTTTTGCTATGGCTGCCAGGGAACTGAGAATTTCATTTTACTTCTAATTCCAGAAATAATATTATCTCAAGACTGATATAATTTTCCTTTTCCTTCAATTCTGTGTTATTTCTTTCTTTTCCCGTTTTATTAACCTTATTTTTTGTAAGTTACCTCAAGTTTTTCCAGAATCCCGATGGTATCACTAAGACCTTGTACGGCCTGAGAAGCTTTTTTAGGCAAACCTCTTGCTCCCAGTCCTACCGTCCGGCAGCCACACCTGGGTGCCTCCTACCCATAGACTGTGAACTTTGGAGCCCTTGACCCCCATACCCTTTTTGGTCAAGCTTTTCCACGTCCTCCACCCGCATGCCGAAGATAAAGAAGTTCTCCTCTCCTGCCTCTTCTGCCATCTCCACGTTGGCCCCATCCATGGTGCCAATGGTCAGAGCCCCATTGAGCATGAACTTCATGTTGCCAGTGCCTGAGGCCTCAGTGCCCGCAGTGGAGATTTGCTCAGAGAGGTCAGCAGCCGGAATCACTGTGGGGCGGCAGCAGGGGCACGAGTTCAGCTCTGGGAAGAATCCCACCCCAGCCGGGGACTCTGGAGCCAGGCTGGCCCCAGGCATAGTCAGATTCAGTCTTCTTCATCCCAACCCTCTGGTCTTCACCAGCTGAGTCTCCCTCTCACCCCCAACTCTGGCTGATTCTTGAACATCTGGGGTCTAACCTGGACTCCCCCCACCCTGCTCCATTGTGTGACTTAGTGAACACCACGGAATTTCACCTGTACTGCCAGAAAGTCCATTAGGGGGACATCTTCATGGTTTCAGCATTTCCCTCTCCACATTTTTCTTTAAAGTGCAAGTACTCCAGAAAGAGGTGACTAATACCTCTTCCAGGCACTGAACTAATCAGAGCCTCCCCAGGGTCCCCGTCGGCGGCACCTCACCTTTCTCGGCCAGTGAGACTCTGTAGTTCTCCAGGAAGATCACGCGGAGTCGGTCTCCTATTACCGGGTCGTGGTTGACCACATCCCCAATGGCAGTGATGAGCCTGATGATCATCTTGGCCATGTGGTACCCAGGGGCAGCCTGTGGGGGCGTGGTCTGGAGTCAGCTCCATGGCCCGACCTCCTCCCTTCAGCCAAGGCTGATCTAAACCTGGATATCAAAGGACTGGAGCCATGGTCTGTGGCCCGGCTTCTCACCTTCCCTCCTATCATCACAGTTCGAGGCACAAAAAACTTGTTGGGTTCCTTCTTGATGCCTGTGGAGAAAGGGAGGAAGGAAGTGGGCTGGGTTTTCTCTCTGAGCCGTCGTAGCTCCTAACAGTGCCCATTCAGTCAGGCCCTAAGCCAGGAGGCCGTAGACCTGACTGGGGCAATCACTTGCTATGGGACCTCAGACCTCAGATCTGTCCTTTCCCCCTCAGTTGGCCCATCTGTGAAATAGGGATAATCCTATGTCCCCATTGCTATCCTGAGGCCAAAGGAGATACTGATTAGGAAGCACGCAGTATGCGAGGAGGTACACGGAGGGGAGAACCAGGAGACAGTGCGGAGTCCCTGCCACTCACGGTTGTACATGGTGATGATGTGGAGGCAGTTGAGGAGCTGGCGTTTGTATTCATGGATCCGCTTCACCTGGATGTCGAAGAGCGAGTTGGGGTTGATATGGACTTTGTATTCCTTCTCCAGATATGCAGAGAACTTCAGTTTGTTTTCCTGAAGGCAGGGGAAAGGGGAGAGCTCACCAATAGGCCTCAGCCTCAGGAAATCAGATATTCTCATTTCTTTCCCAGGAAGGTAGAGGATAGAGGGCTTGCGTGCCATTTTCATCCGCTCCTGCACCTGGGCAGACATTGCTAATCAATGTCGGCATGAGATCCGTTGATGCTTTCCCACCATGGACTCCACACAGCTTCTACTAGTGACCTGAGGTTGCAGGAGAGATGAGCTCTATCGGCCATTCCTGACCCGGACTTCTGGCCCTCCAATCTGACACAGCCTGACACAGGGGTCCTGGCTGGCCGAGCTCCTCACCTGCTTCACTTTGGCCACATCCCGGATAAAGGCTTCATCGTCCACATAGGAGAGCAGTTTACGCAGCTGGTCCAGGTCTGAGATGTAGTCCTCCCCGATGCGCTATGGGAAGATGGCTCTCAGGCCCATGCCCTCCCTCTGTCCTCCCTCATAGAGGGGCCCCTTGCCAGGTCATCCAAGCCCTATACACTGTGAACAGCAACCCTTCAGCTCCCCAGCTGGGGTGTGGTCTGTAAATGTCCATCTTCCTCCCTTCTCAACCTTCAGCTGACCCCAGTAGGACTTCCTCCTGGAATTTTCCTCATACAGGCAATGACCTTGAGTCCCTGCTCCCAGTCTCTGTCCCTTTCCAGTCTCACCTCAGACGTGACCTATTGATGACCTCCTCCATTAGACTGTGAACGCTACCAGGTTGATCTTCACAGCCAGGGCCTCCATTAGCCCGTAGGACATCCTCAGGCAAATAGGAAAATGGTTCCCCTCCTCCCAGCATATGCAAGGCTTGGGGAACACAGTATGACAAGGATTTCAGCCCTCAACTGCGCCCCCTGCAGTGAACCACCTACAGGACCACACCCAGCTGATCTCTGCAGTGACTCATATTGACCCCTACTGGCCATAGGGTGACCTCTCACCTCAGCGATGACCTCTGCCAGCCCTGGGTTACACATAACCAGCCAGCGCCGAGGGGTGATGCCATTGGTCTTATTCTGGAACTTATGAGGTTCCAGCTCGTAGAAGTCCTTGAAGCTGCAGGATGGGGTTAGTGGGTCACCACTCATCCCTGTGGGACAAAGACCTCCTTCCGGGGTCCCTATCAGGGTGTCTTGATGAAAGAGGCCTGGGAGTGAGGGGTGCTGCTGCATATGTATAAGGGGGGTCGCCTGGGGACAGGACTGAACCGTACATCAGGGCTGTCTGTAGTGCTTGTTAGATGGGTGCCATCTGTGCTGTGCAGTGAGGAGGAGGGCCTATAAGTCAGCGGTCCCCAACCGTTTTGGCACGAGGGACCAGGGCTCCTATGAGAATCTAATGCCTAATGATCTGAGGCGGAGCTGAGGCGGCGATGCTGGCGCTGGGGAGCGGCTGCAAATACAGGTGAAGCTTTGCTCGCTGGCCCTCCGCTCACCTCCTGCTGTACAGCCTGGTTCCTAACAGGTACCGGGGCCGCAGCCCAAGGGTTGGGGACTCCTGCTATAAGCGACTGAGGTTTGGAGTGGGCGGTACCTAGTGGGAGGGGCGGGGTCTCACATGGTCTTCTTGAGGATCTCAGAGTGAATGCGAGCCACTCCATTGACGGCATGGGACCCAGCGATGCACAGGTGGGCCATGTTAATGCGCTTGACTGCTTCTTCCTCCACAAGCGACATGCGCCGCAGCCGGTCTACGTCCCCTGGGAACGCGGCTGCGACCCGCTGTGCCAGGAGAGCCCAGAGTTAGGACAGGGACACAGGACCTGGGCCCCAGCCCCGTACCCACCGAGCTCTGCCCAGAGCCCTCCCTGCTAGCTCTCGGGCCCCATGCCTCCTCTGCTCACGTTGAGGAAGCGCTGGTTGATCTCGTAGATGATCTGGAGGTGCCGCGGCAGCAAGGTCTCCATGAGGTGCACGGGCCAGCGCTCCAGGGCCTCGGGCAGCACTGTGTGGTTGGTGTAGGCACAGGTCTTCACCGTCACCTCCCATGCCTGGCAGAAGAATGGGGAGTCAGGCCCCCGGGGCCTAAGCCCTGTGGCTCTGCGCACACACTCTGCAGCCAGGAGCCGGCCGCCTCTGTGGTGCCAGGTTCTAGGGCCCCCACCCCCTGAGCCTCACACTGCTGTATGTTCAGTGAGGGCGCCACTCATACCTTTCCACTCCCCAGACTGGGAAGGGAACCCTGAGGAGAGAGTCAGGCAGGGGTGGAGGGGTCCTGAAGCCCACCTTGTCCCAGTCCAGCCGCTCCAGGTCAACCAGAATCCTCATCAGCTCGGGAATGGCCAAGGAAGGATGGGTATCATTGAGCTGGATAGCTACCTGTTGGGGTGGGGGGAGGCAGGCAGGGAGTCAGTCTGGCCTGCAAACCAGGGCCATGGTCACCGTCCTTTGCCCCTTCAGAGTCCCCTCCAAGGGCTGCGCATGGTTCTAGGGCTGAGCAGGAGGCTCTCATGGGGCGGCTGTGGGGCAGGAGGAGGGAAGCTCAGGTTATGTGCCTGGTAATTGATGGTCCTGAGCAGGTCACCCTCACACACGCCCCCACCTGCCGGCCTCCACTTCCTCATCTATAAAATGGGCAGGCAGGCTGAGGTTGGAAGGGAGAGTGGGGCGCACATCACAGCAGGTGGAGCGAGCAGCCCTCCCTGCAGCCTCGTACCTTATCCGGGAAGGCATCGAAGCTCGTGCGCACGGGGTCGCGGCAGCCGAACTTGGAAGATTTGAAGCGACGGATGATGTCCTGGAGTGTAGCAGCCACTACAAAGTACTCCTGCTTTAGCCGAAGTTCCTTTCCCTCAAAGAACTGGGGACAGCGTAAGGTAGGGCAGAGTCAAGGTGGTGGGGGCACGGCCTGACGCGACTGTGGGTGTGGCCAGGAGAGACTCCTCCCACACCAAGATGTCTGAGTCCGGAACCACCCCCATCTCGGAGACCCCGGGGTCTTTCCCCCACCAAGAAGTTGTGATTGGGACAGTGTCAGGAGCGAGGCACACAAAGACCTGGAGTATTGTGAGCATCGCCGGAGAACAGCTCCTCCAAAATGCCCACCCTAACCTGCTGCCCCAGGACTCAGGTGTCCTCTCACTTAACTGGGGGGACAAACAGGACACACAGGGGCCCTGGGTGTGACTAGGGCACCAGAGAATGTCCCTCCCCTCTCCTGTCCTCTCCCATGCACGCCGACTTCCTAGCCCCGGCCCAGGAGGCGACATACATTGTCATTGGGATACAGGACACGAGAGATGTTCTCAGCCAGGTTTCGGTCCAGCACAGCCTGGATGTAGCCACCGATGTTGACTGAGGGGCAGAAGTGGCAACAGGGTCAGGCTTGGGCTGAGCGTGAGGCGGGGTGGGTGGGAGCCGCTAACTACAGGCAGCTGGACTCACAGTCCTTGAGGTTGAAGTCATTGGGGGCCTTGGCAGACCACAGGCGCATGGTGTTGACTGTGTTGTTGCGATAGCCGGGCACAGGCGTGTCGTAAGGCATGGCCAACACCACCTGCAAGGGCACCCAGGGTGGCGTCAGGAATCGGGCATCTGCCGTGTCTGACTCGTGGGGTCCTGGGAACTGGAACTCCAAGCTTTGTCCCTTCCTCAGCCAACTCTCAACCCCAAGGTTTAGTCCCAGTTCTGGGTAACCACAAGCAAATGCGTCAGCCTCTCTGGACCTCATCCACAGAGGATCCCCCCAGTGTCCCCCACATCTCCAGCCCCGTCTTGCTGCGCTGTTGTGAGGGTTGCGGAGGAGGCTATGACAAGCCCAGCACCCAAGGTGGGGCTCTGTTGGTGGCCGCGTGATAGTGACGGGGAAGAGCTGGCCTGCCCAGCCTGAGCACAACCTCGAGGACACTCTGGATGCACGATAGGGCTGAGGGATCCCAGGGCCTGGGTGGAGGGGTCGAAGAGGTCAAGTCCATCCAAAAGGCTTATGCCTGGTTGTCCACAGGGCTAACGAGCAGTGACTAATGCTGGCCTCATCTCCCACAATTAGCAAGCACCAATGATTGCTGCCAATAACTGCCTGCTGCCACTGGGCCAAGGGCACTCCCACCTCTCCTCCCCAGCACTAAGTAGCCCCAGCTGGAACCAAGTGGAAGCTGCAGCTCAGAGACGGTAGGG